TCCAGCTTGCGCCGGCAGCGGTTTGCGAAGAACAGACTTGAACATTGAATTATTCGCGCGTGGCCTTCCAACTAGAAACAATTTTCTCATCAACTTGCACTCAACTTCAGTGATAAACTCGCAAGATCGAGCCGGTGTTGATTGCGTAATAAGTGGAGTAATGGCCTGTGTGATTGTTGTTTTCACTTTTGGATAAATTGTCTTTTAACAAACTTGTTGAATCCTTACTCATCCTATGGACCTTTGTAAAAACGTTTTAATTTTTTTTTTTAATTTAAACAATTTTAGGCCTAACAATAATTGTCAAATTAACAAAGGATAATAAAAGGAAGAAAAATGCGGTCAACAAATTTTGTGACTAGGGCTGCTATTCAATTAAATTTTTAATTAAGCAACCATAATTTGAATACAGAAGGAAAAAACCCTGATAAATAAATGAATTTAAAATAAATTATGTCAAATTAATGATTTATTTTACAATTATTCTCCTGTTTGTAGTATTTAAATTGATACATTCTTTATACCAAAGGCCGCGCATCCCAAAATTATGTTGGTACACGGCTGCCGTCAGAGCCATGGGGCCTTATGGCTCGGGCGGAAGACATCTTTTTTTTTGGCCAACATAATAGAGCTGATGCGCGGCCTTTGCTTTATACGTGTGATCTATTTGGGCAATAATTGCCTGTTAAGATAAATCAAGTAAAGACACTTTGCATCTAGATATTAATTTTATTAAATTATATTGTATTTTCTTCGTATTTTAAATAAGCGTGGTGAACATTAATAAAATATAATAATAATTATTTGTTAACTTAGCAAGATTAAACATCAAACTGCAGCCATTTGTCGCTATAAATTTGTGAGATTTTAAATTCCAGTCGTACAAATGAAATAATATTGCGCGTTTTATAATTTTAACAAAGCCGTTGCATGTATCATATCATCTATAATTACATTCAATCTTCCTCATGGTTTGGTAGTCTTCAAATTTAAATTTTTATAACAACGCAAAATTAAAAATAGCACAAGGTTGTCAATATGCATTTAACTTGAAACTGAAATCCGTACACTCTATTTTACCAACATTTCTCTTGACGGCCGGAGCTTTCCACTGGTGAAGTTTGACACTTTTGCAGATATTTGTGCGTACGCAACGCTCTACGGAAGCAATAAATATTGCAGAAAGGTTCACTCCAGGGAGAAAGTAGCCTGGAAACGCTCCTTTCGCAACAAGAGCAGGCAAATCTCCAGCGACGAACGCGCTCTCTTTGTACGCATAAATATATATCAAAGTTTGCGGCTGAGCCAGCCGGTCGCCTTCACAGCCAATCCACAATTTGTCGAGGCTCAAATAATGGAGTAAGCCCAGAATTGTCTCCGCTTCGGCGAGGAAAGAAGAAAGTTTGCAGTCTCTGCTTGCCAGATAATTTGATTGAATAAGATATTTTTCTTCTTTCGTGGCCAACCAGCAGTATTGCCGCGTCCAATATAACTTCATAACTGGATTTTGCGCTTCTGCGTCTGCCGGTTTTCGGCTCCTAGCTCACTATGCTCGTCCGATTTTATTTTTGCGACCTCCGTCTGTGTGTGTGCGCGACGAGTGCCACAGGAATAGCAATTCGGTGGTTTGATTAGAGGGCAAGAGTGAGTTGGCGCGGCGACTTTCAGGCTTTTGACGCACCAACTTTTCAGACAAACGGATATTGATGAAGTGACAAAACAGAGCAGAAATTTTTTGATCCAATTTTTAAGCAAGTTAAGAACAAATAATATAAAAAATATTGACTTACACAGAGCTCAATTATAAATAAAATTGATTAGGTTAAAAGTGAATAAAAAATTAAGACATTTGCAAAGAAAGAAATATTTCATTTTATTAATTATTTTATATATTCAGATTACAGGAATTTTATTAGAATAGAAAATTTTTGTATAAAAGTAAAGTCAACAAAACTCCTTTCTTGCATTTGAACAATGACAACAGAATTTTCTTAAGAATGATTCAAAGTAAATATTTTCTCATTTTCGTAACTCTTGCGCTTTTAACTTCGGGCAGTTAGTGCGCCTTTTTTTCATTATTGTTCATTCCAGTGGTTAAATTAATTGTGACACGCTGGCATAAATTATTCCTTCCAGATAAACCTTTTGAAAATTAAAATTAAATTGAGCGCGGATCTTATAATGGCGCATTAATGAGAGTAGGTGATTTTTTTCAAGAAATTTAAATAGGTTACATTTCAGAAGTTCATCTTGTTATTTAAGAAATACTGCTAAAAAAACTGGGCTTTAATGAAATCGGAATAAATAGAGCTCCTAATGATACACTGCTGAGAAAACTCGGAGGGTTGCGAGTATTGGCAAATTGTTTTTCCGTGCGTGCCATGCAAATTGTTTCAAAGAGCGCCATAGTTGGTTGTTATAGTTGTTGGTCCCGAGATGCTAGTGACGCTGCTGCATGATAATCGCGCACACACGCCGCGTAACAATATTAATAACGGTTTTGCATATTAAGGCGGGTGGCGAACGACTAGGGTGTGTTATTTCGAAAAGTTTGCCTGCTGCAGAGACGGAGAGAGAACGATGCCATTATCTCCGTGCACAGACAATTTAGCCGGCTGCAGAGCAGGCAACACCAGCCTGCAAGCCAAGTAGAGAAACTGCATGTTCGAATGTAACTGACACACAAGCGCTGCACCAGCTTCCCTGTTCCCTTTGCTACCCAATGCACTAATAAATATCAGAGAATTTTCATGTTGTGAGTCATAAGCGATATCTAGAAATTTCATTAATTTATTTAAAAACATGTTTTATAATTTTAAAGTAAAAATTGGGGTTGTAAATGCTATATGTCTATAAATCTCTGCAAAAATTTAAAATAATCTGCCATAATACAACAAATCAAATAATTTTTTAGTAAAAATGATAAAAATATTTTCATGAGATATGTTTTGAATTTTATTTTTTAAAAATAATTGTTTTAAAAAACGTTTTATTGCAAAAATTACACAAAACATGAAGAATATTAATACTGAAAGGATTAAAATTATGAAATTTGTTATTCAGTCAAAACTTTTAAAATTTATAATTTGTATTGATTTTTTTTTATTATTCATTGTTCTAGGTAACATTTTATCAAGTTACGTATACGTATAAAATATTTTAAACAAATACTAATTTTGCATAGACAACAAAGAAGCATTGGAAACGCTCACCGCCGACAACATTAATGAGCTTTCTGCAGAGAGAGGCGAAAGGTCTGGCTGCATCAATGGCAGGCACATATTGTGTGTTGCAGCGCTTGCTCTGCTACTCGTTCGCCCGAGAGAAGGCTGCACCGCTCATGATAATATTAATAATCGTGAATGTCGACACTGACCCGCATGCTCGCTCTAGCTCTGCGACTTTATGCTCCAATAACGGAATTCAGCGAATGACCAGCGACACACCCCAGTTGTACGTCCAAACGGAAGGGGTGCAAAGTGAAATTTGCGGAACCCTCTCGCGGTCCGACGATAAAAGCCGGGGAAAATTTTGTTTGTAAATGTTTAGTCAGCAGCGGAAATTAGCAAAGTTGGCCTCTCGCAGCGAAATCGAGTACAAATGAAAATTTATTTATGCATGAGGCGGGCAAGGAGGGCGGCGGGCCGATTTAATTGCCAAGCAGCAACTCGCTCGCTTTCTCTCTCTCTCTCGCTGCCGGCGAAGTTCATTTTGTATCATCGCTCCGACATTTTCGCGCTGTTTAACAACCCCAGGTGAATCATTACGAGATTGCCGCCGCTTTTTGCGTCGACCGCCCTGCTTTGTTCTCGCCGGCACGCGATGCTGATTTTTTAATTTTCCGTAATGAACAATGGCCCGGCGGCCGACCGTGTCATGAATTGAATTTGAAATTATGTTACCCAACATGAAAGAGAATGGATCCGGGCAAAAATTTAATGCAGTACTCTTTCCCATTTATTTTATCGAATTTGTTTAAAATGTTTTGGAAATCAAATCGATATAAATTGAGAAGCAAAAGCAACTTTTCATTTGATTGCTTTTCATTATTACAATGAAGACTAAGGTAATTTTATAGAATAAAAATACTGTGAAGACTTTTGCTATAAAAATTGGAATAATTATCCTGGTCTATTAATTGTACGGGCAAAAGCAATACAATAAATATTAATTAATTATCATGGGTTTACGACTCAGATGTCCCTCACTTGGTTTTATCCTACTTACCATTATTGAAAAAAAAAACACCCTTTATATTTATCGCTCCATCAAAATGGCACATGGGAATGTGCTCAGAGGTTATTTAGGAAGTTCCCGGTTGAATAAAAACTAAGATTTCCACTTAGCACTTCCACACACTTCCTCTGTTTTTTAAATAGCCGTAACAAATTTATCGCGAAAATGATAATTACTCTGCTCCTAACCAAGATTTATTTGAAAGTAGCATACAATAAATTACTTTATTAAATTACCTACCAATGCTGAATGATTGAATTTCACGATTAACGCGTTCTAAAATACAAAAATTGCGTTCGCACATAAATCTGAACGCGCGCTGGGAATCATCGGTGTCCATTTTGCCGAGTACAAGAAAATGAGAATTTAAAATAATCAATTTTATTACGTTGTGATAGAGAGTTAATTTTGCTGATAAAAATTATTTAAAATATAATTACGATCGGAACAGAGCAAAATATCATTAGATGAATCAAATCATTCTGACCTAATATAAAATTTTCTCCGGAGAAATTTCAGCAAGTAAAATATTTTGTGGTAGAATTTCATGACGATTGAGGTTTTAAATTCAAATCACAAATCACCACAGATAATATAATGTTTATAATATTCTCGAAAGTTTCAAAGTCCATTTTATTATTTTTATTTATATTGTTGCCGTTTTTTTCCCTCCCCTTTTCAAATAAATTATTTTCTACACTTAAATATTAGCAATGTGATGTGACAAATAAACAACAATAATAATAACAAATTCTGCCTTTCAGGTTGGTGCCACCCCCGAAACGGCGGCGCGCTTGTGCCTCGTGTTCATTCACGGGGGCGGCACTGCGAGGGCGGCGGCGCCACTCTCGAGGCACCGAGGCACCATGCGGCAATAAAACCACACACTCCGGCTTCAGTTCTTGCCGACTGCGCTCACAGGCGGAGGCAGACGACCGTTCAGCCGCAAGGCCCACCACGACCTCCTTGTTCTTCGTCGTTGTTTTTTCTCCGGTGAGTACCAATCCTGTACGAAAGTCCCATTTTTCAGCTAATTCCGGCGAAACCACCCATTTTTCAAGTACCACCCCAATTCGGGCCAAGCAAGTTTATACGACCCGCATGCTCTGTATGCTGCACACGTTGCCTACTTGCAAAAACGGCAGGCGCTATAAATATCTAATCTCTCTCTATGGCTTAATAGGGAACAAGCGAGCACGCTTCTCGGCCTTTTCGTTGCCGTTTCGCGCCGCGGATGCCATAAATTGTAACACACGCTGCTCGTAAATAACAACAAATTCATATTTGGGCCTTTTCCCACTGACAACGTGAAGAATGTGCTTAATGCCGCCGAATCCGAATGTTAACTTTTTCCTTTCCGCTCTATTGAATGATTAATGCATTAAGGAACAGCAAACAAGACTGTTTTACCGATATGATATGGTAATTTATTTATCGGTGCGGCTTTTCGCTCCGAGAGAGTATTATTGGGTTCGATTTTTGCCCGACCGTGCCAAACGGAAGGCGATCAGCGGTGCAGCGTAAACAGGAGGGTGTTTGTAAGTCATTTCGCCAACAATGCCCTGTCATGAGAATGCTTTTCCAAGAAGCAAACGCCGTAAGTCGAGCAAAGAGGAAGAAGCGGTAGTTTATCTGACAATGGGGTCTTTGAACCCGCTGCAAGACTGCAACACCGACAGAGGTATATGAACTGACAGATTTAATTTGCAAAGTTTGCAGCTTTTTACAATTTGAAAAATATAAAAAGTTTTCGCCTGTTCGACTTGTAAAATTAAAATATTTTGTATGAAAATCATTTTCAAAGGAGTCATTGACAATTTTTTTAGATTAAATATAAGTAATAAATATGCGCAATTACACACTAAAATATTAATTAATGATTTTAAATGTTTTAGCAAAACATTTGCTAGTGGTTGTGGCATTTTGTCCAGCAATTTCACAAACTTTCAAACTAATTGTTGCTCAACAATTGAATGCTAGCAATTTGGCCAAATATAATTTTTGTTTGTAGAAACATAAGCATTTGAATTTAATAAGTTAAAATGAAATGGTTTTTATTATACTTAACAGTTTTGTCTAAAAGTTTGTTATTTTGATGGTTTCATTCAACACTTATCTCCAGACCAGTTCTTCTGCGTGATTCTCGATTACGAAATGCAATTTCAAGACTGATAAAGAAAACCTTCAAGTCAAACGCAACAAAGCCTCCTCTTCAACTCGGAACAAAGATTCCAATCGAGTCAATACGATTAGATCGATTAAAGTGAAGAAAAAACCCTCCCATCAGAGTGCAATTCAGTCCAGCGCATCGCCTTTTCCTCCGTCGCGACTTTTCCATTTAACGCTTGAATTATTTCCCATAGAAATAGCGACTTAATTAATTAACGACGGCGTCCAACAACAAGTTAAATTACTTTGGCGAGGACGAAAGTCAGCCGGCCCCATCGAGGCGCAACAATTAATCGCCCGACAGAGATTGAATCATCATTCCAATTACGACCACCCAGCCGGTCAGCAACAAAGTTTAATTGATCTCCCGCGTGGCGAGCGAGAAATTCATCTGCATGCAAATCAGGTCGGCGCATGTGGGAGCACGTGTGCCGGCAGGTGACAGATTGAGTTTCGCACAATAAACGCTGAGGAACGAAATAAATGAACGGCAGATTGATCGGCGAGTTGCCATCCATAAATCACGCGGCGGGCTGGCAGAAAAAACGCGCCGCCGTCGCCGTCGCGCGAGTGGCGTGCAGCGAATTGCCCCTTTGAAGGCGCGACATGGTGGGTGCAGTCGCGGGGAATGTGTTTCCGAGGCAGGCTTTTTCGATGACTTTTTAAAACGTCGTAAACTGCGACATGGCTTTTTAAGCCCTGCCGACGCGAGTTTTATGAAAAGACTTAAATGCATTGAATGAGTGCCGATGTTTTTGCTAAGTGGGTCTTTTACCACCGGCATTAAATTTGAACGCTTAAATCTAAAACAATTTACAAGATTTGCATAACTGAAACATTACCAAGTGACGAGTTTAACTGCTTCAAATGATTAAATATTAGAATTGTAGAAATTTAAGTCAGACTGTATAATTATATAATTGTGTACAACTATCAAAATAAAAATTATAATCATCAAATATTTAATAAGCAAAAATTAATTATTATTTTTCAATAGCACTTATAATTTAAGGTAAATAAATACAGTTTTTTTCTTATGTTAGTCAATAATTGTTTGTGGAATATTGGAAGAATTTACAAAAAATATGGTTGGTTTAAATCGTCAAAACTAATAGGTGAACTCATTTCAGGCTGAAATAAATAAGGTTTTTTAGACTAACAAACAAATAATAATATTGATTCAGTATTTTAACTATTTTACAAATAAAAACAAAAAAAACATTTTCTAATGACGGTTTCATTTTGGCGCCTTTAAGACTTTTCTTGTATAACTTACAAGTTTTAGTTCAGGGGTATTTTTATTTTAAAATAATAGTACACCTTCATAAATTTATTAAATTGATTTTACTTGCAACAACACTCAACTTAATTTGATACTAAACCAATTCCTTCTATAGTTTTGAACAAATAGAAATTCAGCTGGAAGTACAATTTAATATTATGTTAGATTTTTTTTTTGATTTTACAAATGCGCTTTAGAGGAAAATAAAATAAAATAAATAAAAAGCGATAAATTTTGAATTTTTAAAAAATGATTTCATAAGTGAATGTGGAATTTGGACTTTTGAGCCTTCAAAGCAGAAAAGAAAATTTAGAAGCCTTTTGCATATTATTATTTGTCAAATAATTCAGCAACACGAAATGCGCTCTTATGGCGTCCGTCAACGGCACTCACCTGTGCATAATTATTCCACTCGCCTCCGCACAGAGCACGTGGATTAATTGCCCACGCAAATCCATTCATTCGCATCTCGCCAACACGCTCGCCCACTTGCATTTTCCGCGGCCGCATTTCGCCCCTGGGAGCCGCGCCATTTCAGCGCTCAAATGAATTTCACATATGCACGCGGCGTATCCTGGACGCGAACCGCAGCCCAAGGCCGATGAGTGAGCCGCTCCGTCGCGGCTACCCGCCGGCTCGTCTGCGTTTGACGTGCAATTAGCAAGGGTTTATTATTTTAATTTGGCGCACTGATTAGTTCGAGCGGAATCCACCCCTGGGGGGTGAGCAATATTTTCTGGGATTTGATGCTAACAGTAGGCAATTTGACGAGTTTTAGGGGATAATTTATGTACCCCACTAGCCACAGGGAGTACGCAACATTGAAACAAGTACCACGTTTCACTAAAAATATGTTGAAAAAAGCAGATTTTCTATCAACAAATTTGAGAGCAAGGAAAAGATTAAGTAATGTTTTAATCAAAATATTTTTTATAAGTTTCTGTCAATTTTTTTTCTCAATGCTAGCATCCACAATTCATAGAATTGAAGTGACTAAATATTTTTTTACTTTGCTATAATTTAAATTCTAACTTTAAATATTGATAGTTGATATTTAATTTACATTAATTAATATTTAAATTAATTTATCAGTCCAAATTTTTTATTCATTGGACATATTATTTTCAACACAACTTCTGAAATAAATTTTGTCTGCAGAATTAATTCCGTCCCATTAATTTTGGACTGGATAAAAGTGCCAAACTGGCTGCAAATTTTTCATTCGCCGCGGAAGTAAACAGAAAAAAATAGCACTGTGTGAGATGAGATGCAAAATTGCCGTGTCCATAAATTCACGCGGGCTAATTTTCATGTTATTGTGCAAAATTGGCAGAGTGTAAATTTGGCACGTGGTGCGTCAGTTGTTGCGGCTTGAAATAAAAATGTAAAATTTCGGCAGCGGGATGAGCCGCAGCGTCTGAATTCCAAGATTGCATGCAAATTCGCAGCGAGGGAGAGAATAAATTGTGTTTTTCATTTCGCCTTTCCGCTCTTATTTCTCTCTTCTCATCAGGACAAAAGCGAAAGCGGCGTGTGCGAGTGAGTCTTGTATCGCCCCTGCTGCTTTTGTGCTGCCTCTCCAAATCCACCCGGCGCGCTGTAAAAAGATTTTAATTAAATCAAGAGAATAAACGGAGACGAGTCTTTCCTGCTCCCGGAGAGTTTCTTTGCCTTCCTCAAACTGCGCCAGCGAGCGGTTGGTTCCTTTTCCGCGGCCAACTTTTTAATCCGTCGTTACGAATGCAAAATACCTCGTGGCGAACTTTCTTTCTTGCCTCCGTTCTGGTCCAAAGAGATGCGTGTTTTCACCCGTGACGGCTCTGATGGGATTGGAAAGAATTATGCATATTCAGACTTCTGACTTTTATTCACGTTTAAGGCTATAGAATCGTGCGGGCTGCATTCAGACGTCAATTACAGAAGGATTTGCAAGTACGCGTTCCCTCAGCTTGGAGCTGTTGGGAAAAAATAACACGCTGCCAAATACATATAAGAAATCCGTGGCCGGGATTTGACATTCTTATAGGTGAGGTAGATATAATAATTTAAAGTTTTCTGAACTTTTTTATATCTAGTTACTTCACTGTGATTTTCTTTTAACTAAAGTAATTTCTGTGTATGTTCTGAAAATAAAAAAATCAAGAGCTTGAGAGGTGATTTTTTTTTTAGTAAAGTGATAGCAAAATTGAAGTCAGCATTCAGCTGTAAATAATTTAAAATGTGCATTCCGGTGCATCATTTTTGATTATTTGTTTCACATGCATATTCCGTTTAAATTAATTAATTGAATTTTATTCTTTTCTTTAAATGTTTATTATTTTATCATTTTTCATTAAATTAATTTAATTATCTCATAACAAGTCAAACAAGAAAATGAATCGCATAAAGTTTTTCTTTTTCGTCTTTTTTTTTAAATTAATTAATATATTTAATGAAGTAATTGAAGTAGAATAAAACTTGCCTGCCTGAAATCATTTCAATTTTTTAACAAATGTAATTTTCCTATCGTGTATTATAATGCATTTTTATCCGATTCAAGGAA